GGCTTACATGCCAACCTGTGTCATTTGGGCCAAGTTACTAAACCTCGCTGAGCCCAAATTTCTGGGGCCATAATAAGGATAATATTGCCTGTCTCTAGAGTTGTGGAAAAGTAGAATGAAATAATGAAAAGTGCCTAGCACAGGAGAATACCTCATTCTAACTCTACCCTAGCCAAAGTGATCTTTTCAACTCTGTCCCTCTCCTATTTCAAATTCTTTGGTAGTTGGCTTCCTGTTGTTTCTGGGTTTAAAGTTCAAAATGCCCATGCAAGACTTTTCATGATCTGGTCCCTGCTGTCTACATTTTGAGCTTTATCTTGTCTTATTCTTCCATGTGTGCTTAACATTCTAGCCACAGTGAACTCTGGGATGCGCCATAGTCTTCTGCCATCTCTCTACCTACCTGCAGTTCCCTTCCTTCCTTTTTTTTTTTTTTTTTTTCCTTGATGTGGTTCTGGGGATCAAACCTAGGGCCTCACGCATGCTAGACAAGTGCTCTACCAATGAGATACACCCCAGCCCTCCCCTCCTTTTCGAATGTCACAGCCTTCCTTCTCTCATATCACAACACACCTACATTAAAAACATTTATAAAGTTTTTTTAGTATTTATTTTTTAGTTATAGGTGGACACAATATCTTTATTTTCTTTTTATGTAGTGCTGAGGATCAAACCCAGTGCCTCATGCATGGTAGGCAAGCGCTCTACCTCTGAGCCACAACCCCAGCCCACATTTATGAAATTTTAACTGAAATGCTTTTCCTTTCCACTCTCCCTTCTCCATAAGCTGTACAATGTTCTTTCATGATGTGTTCTGTTTATGACATGTTCAGAGAAAAAGGCAAAAAAAAAACGCATTTTACATTTTTTAAGAAGCAAAATACAAATATTTAAGTAGCACCTAGTAGAGTAAGAGGGCCAAGTGTCATTTGGGAGTATAGGCTACATTAGGACAAGAAAACCCTAAGAAGTACTTATCATTAAGTCTGTCCCTTGATCTTTACAGGAAGGATATCAAGCACATAATAAGGAAAGGTGGCATTTGAACCATGTGCCTTATATATATCTGGAATCATCTGAGAAGATATTGACTCCTAGTAGGCACATTAATGACAGGAAGAAGATATTGATTCCTACTAGGCACATTTATGACAGAAGAGGTCAGGCATCCACCTAGGAAGGAAGAGGAGCTTTTCCATCTTGGTTAGTCTGAACAGCAATGTAAAAGAGCCATGATCTCAAAAATTCCCAGTGCCATTCAATAACAGTTCAAAATTAGGGGCTGGGGCTGGGGCTGGGGCTCAGCAGTAGTGCACTTGCCTGGCGTGTGTGAAGCGTTGGGTTCGACTCTCAGCACCGCATTTAAATAAATAAAATGATTCAGATAGAGCCCTAATAACCAGAATATACTAAGAACTCAAAAAATTAGGCAATAAGATAACAAATAACCCAATCAATAAATGGGCCAAGGACCTGAACAGACACTTCTCAGAGGAGGACATACAATCAATCAACAAGTACATGAAAAAATGCTCACCATCGCTAGCAGTCAGAGAAATGCAAATCAAAACTACCCTAAGATACCATCTCACTCCAGTAAGAYTGGCAGCCATTAGGAAGTCAAACAACAATAAGTGCTGGAGAGGATGCGGGGAAAAGGRCACTCTTGTTCATTGCTGGTGGGATTGCAAATTGGTGCAGCCAATTTGGAAAGCAGTATGGAGATTTCTBGGAAAGCTGGGAATGGAACCACCATTTGACCCAGCTATTCCCCTTCTCGGTCTATTCCCTAAAGACCTAATAAGAGCATGCTACAGGGACACTGCTACATCGATGTTCATAGCAGCACAATTCACGATAGCAAGATTGTGGAATCAGCCTAGATGCCCTTCAATAGATGAATGGGTAAAAAAAAATGTGGCATTTATACACAATGGAGTATTACTCTGCATTAAAAAATGACAAAATCATRGAATTTGGAGGGAAATGGATGGCATTAGAGCAGATTATGCTAAGTGAAGCTAGTCAATCTTTAAAAAACAAATACCAAATGACTCCTTTGATATAAGGGGAGTAAACAAGGACAGGGTAGGGACGAAGAGCTTGAGAAGAAGATTTACATTAAACAGGGATGAGAGGTGGGAGGGAAAGGGAGTGGGAAGGGAAATCGCATGGAAATGGAAGGCTATCCTCAGGGTTATACAAAATGACATAAGAGGAAAGGAGGGGTAAGACAAGATAATACAAATGGAAGAAATGATTTACAGTAGAAGGGGTAGAGAGAGAAAAGGGGAGGGGAGGGGAGGGGGGATAGTAGAGAATAGGACAGACAGCAGAATACATCAGACACTAGAAAGGCAATATGTCAATCAATGGAAGGGTAACTGATGTGATACAGCAATCTGTATATGGGGTAAAATTGGGAGTTCATAACCCACTTGAATCAAACTGTGAAATATGATGTATTAAGAACTATGTAATGTTTTGAACGACCAACAATAAAAAAAAATAAATTTTAAAAATAAATAAATAAATAAAATGAAACTAAAATAAGAGTTCAAAATTAAATCAGTGAAAAGAAAAATCCCTCTTTCAAGTAAATAAACTCATTAGAACTATCACTTTTTTCTTTTTTTGTCCTTATGCTAAAAATGGAATGCTAACCAGTTTATCTCTCAACATTTGTATATAAGTATGCATGTGTATCCTTTTACTAGTTGTAATTACTCATTTATTCCTCAGATATTTATTGAGTAACTACTTTGTGCTAGGCACTACTCTAGGTTCTGAGAATAAAATGGTGAGCAAAATAGCCTGTCCACATGTCACTGTTCTCTATTAGTCTACATTCAGTTGAGGAGAGAAAGGAGACAAACATAATATATAGTCATCTGGAATTAGATGCTGTGAAGAAAAAGGAAGCAAGGGCAGAGGATAAAGTGCAATGGAAGGAGCTAGTTTAGACAAGATAGTCAAAGCTTCTCTGCAGAGAAAACATGATTGAGAAAAGATTGGAAAGCAGAGAGGGAGCCAGCTGTTCAGATATTCCCTCCACTTGCTTTTTGTTATGTTATTTAAAACATTGCTGTGAATATTGTGTTTATTCTTGGGTCAGGGTATTAACAGCTTAAGGGAATTTCTTTCTTCTTATAACATCATATGATCATATCCCTAGGAAACTGACTGGCTCTTATTCAGCAGACAGTGGAACTTGTAGAGCTGACACAGTTTTCATTTTTACATTGGCTGCTAGAAAACTGAGAGAAATCTGCAGCCCACCCATAATGACAGTAGTGGTCATGAAGATCTTAACAAGATCCTTTTTGTGGTGAGAGGATGTGCCTCGGTGGTAGAGCATTTGCCTAGCATTTGCGAGGCCCTGGATTTGGTCCTAGTATAGCAAAAAGAAAAGAATATCTTTTTTGGAAAAAAAAAAAAAAAAAAAAAGAACAGTGGTGAATTATAAATGTATATCCTTGAAATAGAAAACACACAATAAGGGCTGGGGATGTGACTCAAACGATAGCACACTTGCCTGGCATGCGTGCGGCCYGGGTTCGATCCTCAACACCACATACCAACAAAAAGATGTTGTGTCCGCCGAGAACTAAAAAATAAATAAATTTTTAAAAAAATAAATAAATAAATAATTAATTAAAAAACTAAAAAATGAATATTAAAAACTAAAAAATAAATATTAAAAAATTCCCTCTCTCTCTCTCTCTCTCTCTCTCTCTCTCTCTCTCTCTTTCTCTCAAAAAATTGAGATCCTCGAATCCTTTAAAAAATTTTTTTAAAAAATAAAACACACAATAAAGTGTCGCTATCCCAAAGAATTAATAAATGTAGTTATACTACAGGCCAGTGGTTCTTGGGAGGGGGTGTATTTTGGCAGTGTTGATGATCATAATTGTAGGATGCTGCTGCCATCCAACATCGAACAGGACAGCCCACCACAAAGAATTATCTGGCTCCAAATGTCAATAATCCTAAGATTGGGAAACCTTGCTGTAGACTAGACCATTCAATCTATAATTTCATACACTGGAGCTATAGCTTCTTGTTACAAAAATGACAGACGTTTTCAGTCTTAGTCATTGTGCTGCTATAACAAGGTGCCTGAGATTGGCCAATTTATAAGCAACAGATAAATATCTGTTTATTTCCTTATGGTTCTGGAGGCTAGGAAGTATAAGATCAAGGTGACAACAAGTCTACTTTCGGGGCCCATTCTTCATAGATGGTGCCCTCTAGGTGTCTTCACATGGTAGAAGGGACAGAAAGGGCAAGAAAGGAGGAATGCAGGAAAGCAAAAGAGGCCTAACTTCCTTTCTCAAACCCTTTTATAAATCTGCTAATCCCATCTGAGAGCATGGTCCTTGTGATTCTAATCACTTCCCAAAAGACCCTAACCTACCTTCCTACCTTTCTTTCTTTCTTTCTTTTTTTAAATTATAGATGGACACAATACCTTTGTATTTATTTATTAATTCTTATGTGGTGCTGAGGATGAAACCCAGTGCCTCACACATGCTAGGCAAATGCTGTACCGTTGAGCTACAACCCCAGCCCATCTTTTTCTTTTTCTTTTTTTTCCCCAAATGCTGGGGTATACCCAGGGCCTCACACATGCCAGGGAAACTCCACCACTGAGCCCAGCCCATCCCTAACATCTTCATTTCACCATACTGGGGATTAACTTTCACTGTGAGTTTTAGAGGACACATTCAACCTGAGCAGTCTTTGTGTTGCTTACTGTAGCATGTGGTGTGCATTCTAATGGGAAGGTTGGGTGCCCCACGGTCATCAGTCAAATATTTCTGAAAGCAGTAATTTTTCCTCTTCAAGAAATCTGTATTCTGCCTACTTAGTCACAACCTCAGGTTGACAAAACAAAGGGGAAAGGTGTCTTTTGTTTGAAATCCAGTATTTTGAATGTATGAGGAAACAGCATAGTTGAAATAAGGCTGTTTTCCTTTCATCATCCTTTCTCTTTGCAGGCTTTCATAGAAACCATGTTTGCCAGTAAAGCCCCTGTGGAGGAGGCCTTTCTTTATGCCAAGGTGAGCCTCAGATGGTGGGAAGGTCCTCTTGGAAATGAAAGTCATTGATTTACAGGTGACATTCAGTAGGCTTTCCAGGGAGTAATAGCATGTCCTTGGGGAGGATTTGGTTCTAAATGTTGTTGGTAATTTATTAGATGAATGCAGTGCTACAATTAAAGAAGAAAAATGCAAAGCAGAACAGATGAAGGAAAACAGTGTAAGATGAGAAAAATAATACTGTTTTGGTAAACATGAAGGAAGAAGGATCTGAAGTAGCATGTGGGTGGTAGCAGATAGATACCTCAAGTCTACATCTCCACCCAGAGCGTAGTGAAATTGACAGAATTTACCAGTCACCCAGATCCTTTTTCACTTACCAAAAACATTTAGAGTGGTAGCTATTTGAAAGGTTGAAATTAGTAGTTTTAGAGCTGTTGTTAAAAATATAAGCCATATTTGTTGTTTAGCTAAATAAGAATAAACAAATAGTAACCTTATCCAATGGGTCTCTGGCTCACTATTCTTCATAGGTCTTCTCTGTCCTCTTCTGGACTTAATTTGAAAATCATGAGAAATTTAGAAAACACTCAGAAGAAAAGAATAGATTCAATAGTAAGTTTGAATAACAGGATTGATGAGAATTAAAGGGTACGTATAGAATAGATTATAGTACACGGGGTKAGAATCTAAGACTAAAAGCATGAAAAGTTTGGTTAGATTCCCAGTAATCACCCTCATATAGTAAGCGCAGGTATGGAGGCAGAGGCTGCTGAAGACAGCCTTGGGCTGGGGCAGACCTACAGAGCTCATCCACAATTCTTACCATGTTGTTTTCCAGTTTGAATTTGAATGCCGGGCTCGTGGTGCAGACATCTTAGCCTACCCACCTGTGGTTGCTGGTGGTAATCGGTCGAACACTTTGCACTATGTGAAGAATAATCAACTCATCAAGGTACATAAAATGCCCCCAGTGCTTCTCCCATGAGGTCCAGATGGCCTAGTAGAAAATGCAGTAACCTTCCACTTCCACCAACTGCATTTTAAAAGGCTTTTTATTGTTTAAAAGATGATTTTTACAGACATTATCTCATTTGTCCTTGAATTATCCTTGTTAGATGGGAGCAACTATTAACATGTTTGCATGATAGATAAGGAAAATAAACTTTTAAAAACTTAGCAACTCCGGGCTGGGGCTGGGGCTGGGGCTGGGGCTGGGGCTGGGGCTCAGCGGTAGAGCGCTCTCCTAGCATGTGCATGGCCCTGGGTTGGATCCTCAGTACCACATAAAAATAAATAAATAAAAACAAAGGTATTATATCCAACTACAACTAAAAAATAAATATTTTTTAAAAACTTAGCAACCCATTAGTAGAGAACCAAGTATTATATTCTAAAGCATCTGCTCATTTCATTTTTTTACACTCCTTATGATGTGGTGACAGCAGTGGGCCAAGCATATTTTGAAGTCAGAAGAATTTTAAGAAAACCTTATTGGCTGTGAGGAAACACATCTTTTATGATTTTCTTCCCATATAACCATACAAGTTAAGAATCATGTATTCTTTTATTAAGTCCACTGCTTGGCAAGGTGTGTTGGAACATTCCTATAATGCCAACTACTGTGGAAGGCTAAGGTAGGAGAATTTTAAGTTTCAGGCCAGCCTGGACAAGTTAGTGAGACTCTGATTTTAAATAAAAAGTGCTGGGGATGTAGCTTAGTGGTAGAAAAAAATTATAAGGTCTGTGATTCCATTTATAAGAAGTTCTGAAATAGCATAATTAATTTATGGTGATAAAAACCAGGTAAGTTGTTGTTTCTGATAGGGGTGACTGGGAAAGAGCACAAGGGTGTGCTTACATCTGTTATGCATTCAACAAAACTCTTTTAACTCCATTTGCTTAAGATCTGTGCAAATTTTATATATATATAAATTTTGGCTACGTCAGGCATTGTCCATGCCTATAATTCCACAACTTGGGAAATTGAGGGCAGGCAGATAGCAAGTTCAAGGCCAGACTGGTCAACTTAGTGAGACTGTCTCAAAATTAAAAAGGGCTGTGGATGTAGTTCAGCAGTAGAGTGCCTGCCAAGCATATTCAAGGCCTTGGGTTCAGTCCCCAGTACAATCAATCAGTGCTTTTTGTTGTTGTTACTGGTGATTGAACCCAGGGGTGCTTAAACACTGAACCACATCCCTGGCCCTCTTTTTTTATATTTTTAATTTTTTTTCATTTGTTTTAATTAGTTATATATGACAATAGAATACATTTATGCACTTTGATATATCATACATAAATAGAGTATGATTTCTCATTTTTCTAATTGTACATTATGTAGAATCACATTAGTCATGCAATCATATATGTACATAAGGTAATGATGTCTGTTTGAGTCTACTCTCCTTCCTATTCCCATACCCACTCCCCTCCCTTCACTCCCCTCTGTCTAATCTCCAGCCCTTTTTATTTTGAGACAGGGCCTCAGCCTCCTGAGCTGTTGGGATCATAGGCATGTGCCACCACACCTGGCTAATCAATGCTTTTTAAAATAAAATAAAATGAATATTTTAGATTAGTTAAAAGAGCTTACAATTGTGAGATCACCTTCTTTGACTTTTCTTCCTGCATTCTAGGATGGGGAAATGGTGCTACTGGATGGAGGTTGTGAATTTTCCTGCTATGTGAGTGACATCACCCGTACCTGGCCTGTCAATGGCAGGTAGGGATTTTACAAAGTAACATATCCTGCTGCTTCTTAGCATGAGTTGGTTTATAGATGTACTTGGAATAAATGACTAAAGAAATAAGCAGGGCTTTTGTAGGTCAGATTACCTGCCTTTGAAGAACTCATGATGTATTCTAAGACTTTTTGTTATTGTTGTTGTTCATCATATAGCAGATTCAGAAGCCTAGAAATACTGTGTTAGCTAACACATACATAACACATACATAACACATAATTTTTTAAAATAAGTTTGTTGGGTTTTTTTCCCTGATTGCAAATGTAGTATTTAGGGTATGGTAGAATAGATTAGTTGTATTAACCTCCCAAGAGTAGTAGTAATGAAATCTGAACAAAATAATAAGACAGCTACTTAAAACCACCAGAGAGCTTCCACAAACAGGAACTATACAAGTATGTCTTTGAAAGAAAATTATAAATGAATAAATTTAGTGGTTAAGGCTTTTTACCTGAGGATTCCCCAACCCACATTGCTTTAGCAACATAAAGCCACAACCTTATTGGTTAAGATGATTGATTTAGATTCTGGCAGAGTATTTAGAAATATGGGAGGAAGTTCTTCAAAAGAAGGAACAACAGAGTGTTCTACATACAAAATATTCAGAAATCCTTGGCTGAGTTGGGGGAAGGCCTCAGGACATTGAGCAAAATACCAGCAGCTAGAAGCTGAATAAACTGAGCAGAAATTTTAGTTGCTTCCCACTGAAAGCAGAGTTTATAATTTGAATCCATCCAAGCTAAAATAATAATAATAATAATCACTCTTGAGGAGAACATAACCCCTAAAGCAACCACAAAAAAAATACTATAAATAGGTATAGCTAAAAAGTCAATGGGGGAATTAAGATAGAATATTAAAACCCATTCTAAAAATAATTTGTTTTGACCCAAAAGAAGACAGGGAAGGAAAAAACAAAAGCAGGCAAACAAAAAGATGAGTGGAAAAAAAAAAAAACAGCAAAATAACAGAAATAAATCCAACTGTAGTAATGATAGCCAGGCTCAATGCTGTTTAACAGAAAAGCACTGTCAAACATGGAAGACACGAATTTTGAAAATAAAATATCCAAGACAGACATACTATGCAAATATCAGTCCTAAGATAACTGGAATGCTAATGCTTAGTGCAGTGGTGCACAGCTGTAATCCCAGAGACTCAGGAGGCTGAAGCAGGAGGATCACAGGGCTGGGTATATAGTTCAGTCTCTGGGTTCAATCTGCAGTACCAAAAAAAAAAAGGAAAGAAAAGAAAAAAAAAACTAGAATGGTTATATTAATACAGACAAAATAGATTTCAGGACAAAGGAATATTAGTGGAGACAAAGAGGGTCATTTTGATGATGATGAAAGTGTCAGTATGTCAAAGAGATATAACTATTATGAAGGTGTAAGTAGCTAAAACAGAGGTTCAAACTACATGAAGCAAGCTGGATGCACGCCTATAATCCCATCTACTCAGGAGGTTGAGATAGCAAGATCGTAAGTTCAAAGCCAGCCTCAGCAATGGTGAGACACTAAGCAACTCAGTGAGACCCTGTCTCTAAATAAAATGCAAAATAGGCTTGGGAATGTGGCTCAGTGGTTGAGTGCCCCTGAGTTCAATCCCCAGTACCCCAAAAAATAAATAAATAAATGAAGCAAACTAACAGGACTAAAAGGAGAATACATAATCCCACAATTATAGTTGGAAGTATTGACAAATCTTTCTGATTAATCTATAAAACAAGTTACCAAAAGATGAAGATTTTTTTTGTAAAATAATATGTCTAACAACTACAGATGACACATTCTTTTCAAATAGGCATAAAAGAGCCATTCACTAAGACCATTTGTAAAGCTGTAAAACCAGTCTCAGTTTCAAAAAGGTGAAGACTTATATAATTAGATTAAAAAATCAACAAAAATATTGTTATAAAAAGATACACACCCATACACACACACTCATATATTTTTTTTTAACCAAGGATTGAACCCAGGTGTGCTTTACCACTGAGCTACATTCTCGACCTTTTTTTATTTTTTATTTTGACAACTAAGTTGCTGACGTTGACTTTGAACTTGAGATCCTCCCACCTCAGCATCCCAAACTGCCACTAATATTTTTAAATCTCCAAATAGATGAAAATAAGCGAATGCATTCTAAATAACCTATAGGTCGAAGAAGCAGCAAAAAAAAAAAATTACAATGTATTTCACATAGAATACTAATAAAACTACTACATATAAAGATGTGGGGGGTGCTGAGGTTGTAGCTCAGCGGTAGAGAGCTCACCTAGCACATGCAAGGCACTGGGTTTGATCCTCAGCACCACATAAAAATAAATAAATAAAAATAAAGGTATTRTGTCCAAATACAACTAAAAATTATTAATAAAAAAATGATGTGTGAGTCCGAGTGCTTCTCATACACCCATAATCCCAGCGGCTTGGGAGGCTGAGGCAGGAGGATCGCAAATTCAAAACCAACCTGAGCAACTTAGTGAGTCCCTAAGAACTTAGCGTGACCCTGTCTCAAAATAAGAAAACGTTTTTAAAAAGGCTGGGGATGTGGCTCAGTGTAACGCTTCCCTGGATTCAATCCCTAGTACCAAAAAAAAAGATAAATTGGCAAGGGCCTGGGGCTTTTGGCAAGCAAAAGAGTAGGATATGCCAGGCACAATGACATGAGCCTGAAATCTCAGGAGCTCAGGAGGCTGAAGCAGGAAGATCATGAGTTAAAAGCCAGCCTCAGCAAAAGCAAGGTGCTAAGCAACTCAGTGAGAACCTGTCTTTAAATGTAATACAAAATAGGGCTGGGGATGTGGCTCAGTGGTTGAGTGCCCCTGAGTTCAATCCCTGGTACCAAAAAAAAAAAAAAAAAAAAAAAAACTAGGATATAATTTTCATTCAGTGAAGATTTAAAACACACTTGTTAAAGGAATATATACAGATGACTTATACATACTTTAAAGTATTCATCATTGGAGAAATGCACATTAAAGTGCACAATAAGATAACATTACTACTAAAATGGCTAAAATTAAAGACTAACCATACCAACAATTGGCAACAAATTGGCAACAAAGCAATACAACTGAAACTGTGATACCTTGCTTTTGGGTAGCAGTAGTGTGGTAGTGTATAATGTTTACAACCACTTTGGGGGAAAAACTTGGCAGTTTCTTATGAAGTTAAATAAATGCTGACCCTTTGGCCTAGTAATTCCACTTCTAGGTATTTAGGTATTTACCTCAGAGAAACATGAATATGTCAAAATGAACACAAAATGAACATGTCAGGGGTTGTAGCTCAGTGGCAGAGTGCTTGTCTAGCACATGCAAGGCCCTGGGTTCAATCCTCAGCACAACATAAAAATAAATAAACAAACAAACAAATAAAGATGTTGTGTYCAACTACAACTAAAATATAAATATATGATGGGAGGGGAGGGGAGGGGGGGATAGGAAGAGCAGCAGAATAAAATAGACACTAGTATTGCTGTATGTATATATGTGGCTGTATAACCAATGTGATCCTGCAATCTGTACATGTGGAAAAATGAGAATTCATACCCCATTTGAATCAAATGTATGATATGTCAAGATCATTGTATTGTCATGAGCAACTAATAAAATATATAAAGAAAGAAATACTCATTTAGTTCTTTTGCC